GTCCCGGTGCGATCCGCCGCCCACCTGAGGGACGGAGCCGCGATCGCGGACCCTGGAGCCGTGGTCCCTGACATCCGCTTTTTAACCTAGGCCTGTGTAGGGCTTCCGAATACTGCTGCCTCCACCGCCACCCTGCGCCATGTGTCTCTGTCGTCTGCTCACGCTGCTGACTTCCGCTTTTTAAACTAGTCCTGTGTATGTCTTCCGAATACTGCTGCCTCCACCGCCACCCTGCGCCATGTGCCACTTTCAGGTCTCCTTACACTGTTGGTGGGTTCCATTTTGTGATAGGGTGCTGTATGGCCTTCCATTGCTGCTGCCTCCACCGCCACCCTGCGCCATGTGCCTCTGTCGTCTGCTCACGCTGCTGACGGCTTCCGCTTTTTAACCGAGGCCTGTGTTTGGCTTCCGAATACTGCTGCATCCACCGCCACCCTGCGCCATGCGTCTCTGTCGTCTGCTCACGCTGCTGACGGCTTCCGCTTTTTAACCTAGGACTGTGTATGGCCTTCAACTGAAGCTGCTTCTGCTCCGCCACTCTTCCATTGGACTCTTGATAGTCGTCTCCCCACGCTGCTGCTGGAGGGACTTTTTAACATAGGCCTCTGTATGGCCTTCAATTTTAGCTGCTTACGCTCCGCCACTCTGCCATGGGCCCCTGTACCGCCTCCTCATGCTGCTGCCAGGCCCGTAATCTGCCATGGGCCCCCGTACCAACTCCTCATGCTGCTGCCAGGCCCGTAATCTGTCATGGGCCCCTGTACCGTCTCCTCATGCTGCTGCCAGGTCCAGAGTGTGTCATGGGTCCCTGTACGGCCTCCCATTGCTGCTGTCTCCATCGCCACACTCTGCCATGTGCCACTTTCAGGTCTCCTCACACTGCTGGTGGGTTCCATTTTGTCATAGGGTGCTGTATGGCCTCCCATTGCTGCTGCCTCCACCGCCACACTGTGGCTCCACACTCTGGTTTTGGCCCCGTGACTGCCCAAATGAGTGAAGTGTGCGGTGATTCTAAGATCGACGGCACTCATCTGCATGTCATACTGACTGACAGTATTAGTTCTCTTCCCCAGCAGACTCCAAGGGCATTTAAATTAAAGGTATAGTGTTCTGCACTAATATAAAGGCTCTCTGAAGCCTAGAAACACCCTTTTTATAAGTTAAATTCGCAGCGAATATATTCGGCTCGAAGCAAATTTTTTCAGCAAATTCGGCGAATCAGCCGAACCGAATTTTTGAATAATTTGCTCATCTCTAATGGTGATGTCTGTGTCCATGTGAGATATGAGTGAGTGTGGAAGAAGACCTTGTTGATGGAGAGTGTAATGGTGCTGAAACTTTATGGGTGGACCTGCATATGGGTGTGCAAACTTCAAAGTTAATTATTGGAGCTTGTTACAGGTCACCTAGTGTTAATGAGGGGGTGGAGGCTCAGCTCCTAAATATAGAAAAAGCTGCAAGGGCTGGTGATAATAGTAAGGGAAATTGACTTATTTATTTTTAATTACAGGTACTTATATATATAGCGCTGTCAATTTAAACAGCACTTTACATGTACAGTATATATATTGTACAGTCACATCAGACCCTAACCCTCAAGGAGCATACAATCTAAGGTCCTTAACTCACATTTATATATACTAGGGTCAATTTAGACAGGATCCAATTAACCTACCAGCATGTCTTTGGAATGTTGGAGGAAACTGGAGTACCCTGTGGAAACCCACTCAGGAACAAGGAGAACATGCAAACTCCAGGCAGGTGCTGCCGTGGTTGGGATTTGAACCAATGACCTTATTACTGCCAGATGGAAGTGTTAACCATTTAGCCACTGTGACTTGAGTAATGGCACTGTTGGAACAGTAAAAGGATGGACATTTATAAACCTACTGTAGCCAGACAGTCCACTACAGTATGTTAGAAGGACATTGCCTTTATTTTTTACATTCTTATGCAAGTTGACTTGTGAAATTCCCTTCTTCAGCCACAAAGGAAAGATGTTGCGCACATTAATCTCTGGGATCACAGTTCAGAATGCTGGGAATATTGGGAGATGTAGTCTTGGCCAAAACAGTGACAGTGTAATAGATCAGCTTTTGCGCTACAGGCCCCAATAGACCCTGGTAGCATGTGGAGTTTCTAAAGAGGGTATATTTAGAAAAGTCCAGGAAAGAACAGGGGCAAGTGGCAGTTGGTGCCCAGTGATCGTTTGAATAGCTGTTCCCGTTAAGCTGCCAAAAAGAAGATTGGGAGACATTGGAACATTTCACCAGCACTAAGACCCCTCAAGAGACTCAGCTTGATCGATGTGACGTCATTACGTTTTCCCACGAGCTACTGCGCATGTGCTGAGTAGCTGGGTCTGTTTGCTGTGATTGCTGTTGACGCTGGTGTCGGCTGGGACACCCTTTGAGTTAAGTGCAATGAGTACCCAATAAAAGAAGTTGTTTTTAATAATACTGCACCATGAAGTTCTTCTGTTTCTTCCGAGTGTCTGGCATTTCCCTCCTTGGATACGTTTAAAGGTGGCTTTCTTGAGAAGTGGATTTCCTTGATGATATTTGATTTGAAAGCATTTTGCTCCATCTGAAATTGGTCTATGTGGATCTGGGCTCTGCAGAATATTATTCCTTGAAGATACATCTATGAATGACTTATCATTTATTAATACTACTGTTCCCAGAGCAATACATGGTTTAGTTTTATTAGCTCTGGTGAGTTTATTCATTTTTTGGTGGTGGCATTGTCACATTTATTTATATTTTTTTGTGCATTTTTTTTGTGTCACATATTTTAAAGTGTGGACTTTTTGTTTTTGAACATTTTTTATTTTATGCACTATTTATATATTTGATTCATGGATATATTTTTATATATTTACTAGCGCAAATTACTTTTTTGTGGTATTTGCTGCACCTTATTTATTTATGGTGATTTTTTGCAGCTGGTATATATATAATAAGTGATTTATAGATATATATATATAGATATATTTCTTCCTCTTTCCATAGGCGCCATTATATATATTTTTTCTATTTTATACTAGCTCCTCTCTTTTGAGGGATTTATAATTGGCAGCCATGGATATCTTTGGATATATGGAAAAAAGGAAAGTCGATTTAAATGAAGTTTTTAATCCCATGGGTATATCAAACAGTGTGAATTTAGAAGAAAATTTTAAATGCTTGAAATATCTTTTAGAGAAACAAATTAAAATATGGTGGGATGTGAATACTTTAGAACTTTATTTGAAAGAGAAAATCACTCCCAGGAGATTGAGATGAGATATACCTGCCAATGATGGTATGGAGGATAGAGAATTAGTAGATGAGTGGTTCGAATTTTTTAACCATTGTGAGAGTAATTTATTGGAATTAATTATAAAGAGGCGACAGGTTAAGTTGAGGAAAGCAGACTTTAAAATTAAAGAGCTAAAAGATGTGATGTTGCCGATTGCAGATACCAATGATCACAAAGATAGATCTAAAAATTTACAGGACCATATTACCAAAGTGGATAAAGATACTAAAAAAAAAAAGGTTAAGAAATACAAAAGAGATACTGAAGATTATAAAAATAATAGAGTGTACAAATGGCAAGATAAGATCACCAAATGATCATGATAAAATACCCTACCAATATGAGAATAGTGGAAGACCTATGAGAGGTTTTTCTAATTATAGAGGTCAGGGGGGATATAGGGGAAATGGATATAGAAGAGGAGGGTATCAAAATTCCTTTCCACCAAGGGGGGGGGTTTCCCATACCACCACAGGGGTTGGAACATGATACCAAGGGGATACAGACCACAGGAGAAAGATTGGAGAGAACAAGGGAACTATGGCAGAGAAGAGGGAATAGGAAATATAGAGGGTAGAGAGGAGGTAGGAGACAAAAAGAGAAAAAGGGAACAGTAGGGGCTGGGATTCATAATTTGAGTGATGTCATTTTTTCTGAAAGAGAAATTAAAGTGTTAGACCTTGGGTTGAAATATATACCAAGGATGAATTTAAATAAATTCAATGTTTTTATTGATTTACAAAAATTTGTGAGAAAACTTAATATTAAAAAAATTTTTTGAATTGAATAAGTCTCAAGGTAAGATTTCTAGTTTGTCTTCCAATGGTTTTCAAAATAGTGGTTTAAAGAATACTTCCACATTTAATCCAAAAAATTTGGGGAATGCTTTTTTAGAGGTATCTAAAAATATGGTAGAAAATGAGATTAAGAATATGAATATTAAAGGTTTCCATTGTATTCCACAAGATATCAAATTGGGTATTGAAGATCTTGAAAAAAGAAAGAATATAGTAATTAGAAGTGCTGATAAAGGGGGAAGTATTGTCGTTTTAAATAAAAATGATTATGAAGAAGAAATGAAGAGATTACTACAAATTAAAGATACATATAAAATATTGACAAAAAATCCCACTAAGAAACTTAAAATATTACTTAAACGTCTTATTAATAAAGGGAAAGATTTGGGTGTACTGACTGAAAAAGAGGCCAAATATCTTTTGATAAAACATCCTAAAATACCTACCATATATTATCTACCAAAAATACACAAAAACAAAGAGAAACCACCGGGGAGGCCCATTGTGAGCGGGATTCATTCGTTGTTTGCAAGGGTCGGTGAATATGTTGATACCTTCCTACAAAGTATTGTTAGGACAAATAAGGCTTTTTTAAGGGATGGTGGACATCTTATTAACATTCTTAAAGAATTACATAATGTTGACAATTGTATGTTAGTGACTATAGATGTAGAATCATTATATACTAACATTAATCAGACTGATGGTATTGATGCGGTCAAATGGGCCCTTAAACATAAATCACTTTTAAGAAGAACACAGAGGAAGTTTGTTGTTGAATTGCTAGAGTTGGCAATGAACAATAATTTCTTCTGGTATAACAATGCCTTTTTTCAGCAATGTAAGGGTGTTGCCATGGGAGCTAAGTATGCTCCCAGTGTGGCAAATTTAGTGATGGATAAATGGGAGGAAGAAAGTATTTTTGGTAAATGGCCAGAGATGGCGCTATACAAGAGGTATATAGATGACATTATAATGTTATGGGATGGATCCAAGGAAAAGCTTGATTCTTTTATGGAATATATTAATATGAACAGTTATGGATTGAAATTCACTGTTACTAGTGATTTTCAGCAAATAAATTTCTTGGACCTGATCCTATATAAAGATAATGGTCAAATGTTTACTAAAACTTATTTCAAAGAAGTGGATAAAAATAGTTACATACCTACATCTAGTGGACATCACCCTAATTGGCTATATAGTACCCCAGAGGTCAATTTACCAGAATAAAGAGAAATTGTAGTGATAATAAAGATTACTTGATCAAACTGAGTTGTTAATTGAGAGATTTATAGAGAAAGGGTATGATAGGAGTTTTTTGGTTAAGGAAAGAAATTCGATAAATAAAAGAGATAGGGAGATGCTTCTCAGAAATAGAAAGACATATTTGGGATTTGAAAATAATGTACCCTTTATCACTAATTATAATATGCAATATAAGAACATTGAACGAATTTTCAAAAAATATTGGCCTATTTTATTAAAAGATGACATACTGAATAAATTTTTTATCTAAGACACCGAAATTTATTTACAGAAAAAATAGGTCTTTAAGGATGAGATTGGCCCATAATGTTATCGAACCCCCGAAAAAGATCGACCTGTTTCCAAATCTAAAAGGTTTTTTTCCTTGTAGGAAGTGTAAAGTATGTAAGACTGTAAAGGATATTAATAATAAAAAAAGGAAGTCATTTTGTTCTTCATTTTCTGAGAAAGAATATAAGATTAACTCTTTGATTACATGTAATTCAACACATGTGATTTATGCTTTGGAGTGTCTGTGTCATTTTAGATATATTGGTAGAACTGGAAGATGTTTAAAAACAAGAATAGACGAACATATAAGAAATATAAAAAAAGGATTCGATAAACATAGTGTATCAAAACACTTTAAATTAGTACATAATTGTGATCCAAGCCTACTTACCTTTTATGGAATTGAGATGGTGAAACTCTATTGGAGGGGCTCGGATTTGGTTAATGAAATATCCAAAAAAGAGACTTTTTGGATTTATGAGTTAAAT